GGAAGATGAACAGAAAGCAATGGATACCTTGAAGCATGCCGTCACAATGTGCCCTGCAATTCGGCCCATCGACTACACCTCCAACTTAGAGGTTATCCTCTCCGTTGACTCATCCGTGATCGCAATCGGGTATATTCTTGCTCAACTTGATGATAAAGGACGACGACGCCCTGCGCGATTTGGTTCAATGACACTGAACGAACGCGAGGCGAAGTACTCACAGGCAAAAATCGAGCTCTATGGCTTGTTCCGTTCACTGCATGCTGTCAAAATTTACATTATTGGCATCCAAAACCTGACTGTAGAGGTCGATGCGAAGTACATCAAGGGCATGATCAACAACCCAGATATGCATCCCAATGCTGCCATGAACCGGTGGATAGCTGCGATTTTGATGTTCGACTTCAAACTTGTCCACGTTCCGGGGAAATTTTTCAGAGGACCTGATGGGTTATCAAGAAGAAGAGGAGCGGATGATGATGACTGCGTCGAGAATGAGGGCGAGAGCGCTGACGAGTGGGTGGAGGAAATTTTGATGTGTGGTGTGTGGGTGGCTTCAAGCTTGGAGTCGGGGGTGTTTGAAGTGGGAAACAAGAGAATTGGGGCGAAGGGTTTGGTTCTGGCTTATGGGAGGAAGTGCGTGGAGGCGACTGATGAAGGGGAGCTGCCGGTGAATGATGTTGGGAGAAAGAAGGACGAAGACTTACGGAAGGTGGAAAAGTATTTGTCGACGCTGAAACCGCCTGCGGGCTTGGATACCAAAGGCCTATGCAAATTCTTCAAGAGAGCTTCACGTTTCTTCTTGGCTGGAGGCCGACTATGGTACCGAGAACGCGACGGACGGCATCGTGTTGTGCTATTTGAACAGGATCGCCTACCGGTGCTAAAGACGGCTCATGATGAACTCGGCCACAAGCGCTTCTATCCGACGAGACAACAGGTAGCGACACGCTTCTACTGGCCAACTATGGATGCAGACATCAAGTGGTTTCTGGATACATGCCACGAGTGTCAATTAATGTCGCAGCAAGCCGTGTTGCTCCCACCTACCGTGATAAGTCCGCCGGGATTGTTCCAAAAATGTCACATTGACACAATGCATCTGCCGAAGTCGGGAGGCTACAAATATGTCGTCCAAGCACGCGATAACTTGTCGGGTTGGCCGGAGTTTGAGATGTTGAGGAAAGAGAACCATAAAGCGATAGGAAGGTTTTTGTTGGAGAAGATCATGATGAGGTGGGGGTCAGTGTTGGAGATGGTGACGGACAATGGGACTCCTTTCGTCAAGGCATTGGCGTGGCTAGAGGGGAAGTACAATGTCAGCCACATTCGGATTTCAGGTTACAACTCGAGGGCGAATGGCACCGTCGAGGCTGCTCACCAGCCAGTCCGCAGCGCACTCATCAAATCCGGCGACGGTGATATTCGAAAGTGGCACGAACGCCTGCCATACGTCTTCTGGGCAGAGCGCATTACGACGAGGAAATCTACAGGGTTTTCACCTTACTATGCAGTGCATGGAGTGGAACCTCTCTTACCGTTCGACATCACCCATGCAACGTTCCTTCTACCACCAATGAAATCCCTCATCACCGAGGTCGAGTTGCTTGCTATGCGTGGACGACAGCTTGAACGACGAAACGACGACATCGCAGCCATGCAGAAACGTGTTTTGAAGGCTCGCTTTGCTTCGGCTGCCGAGTTCGAAAGGCGACACGAGAACGTCTTGATCGACTACGACTTTCAGCCCGGGGAGTTCGTGCTGGTGTTGAACAAGAAAATCGAACCTGATGTTGGCCGAAAGGGTAAACCTCGCTATTATGGTCCCATGGTCGTCATCAGGCGCTCTGAAGGTGGTTCGTATCGCCTCGCCGAGCTGAATGGGGCTGTGTCGAAGTTGAAGTATGCTGCGTTTCGGTTGATTCCTTATTACCCTCGTGGCAGGAAGGTAGTGAAGGTGACGGAGTTGGAGGAGGTTTGAGTGTTTCGGGAACCGGGGTGGTTGGCAACCAGGGATGGTTGATTTTTAAAGTGAGGGGGAGATGTAGGAGGGAGAGGTTGGCTACGATGCGACGTTGGTTTACGGTGACTGCACGATCACATGATCTGTGACGCGTCTCGCCTAGGACTTAGCTTTCGGATTCATGCATCGAGACTTCACTTATTCTACATTCCGTGTATCATACAGCCTTGGCCTTTATCCATCCGAACTCATACCGACTTACTGTCATTCAGTGGGCATGCCTTGTCAGGGAAGCAAATCCGACTTCTTGATCACGGTCGATCACTGCCTGATAGGTGTTCACGTCAACTGTCAGGTTGAGGCGTAAACGGCTTGGTATAAGCGCCGAAGAAGGAACAAACTGCAGTCGATTTAAACAAGATGGAAGGTAGAGTAGCACTAGTATGTCAAGTACCGGTATAGAATCCGTGTGAAAGTAACTTGGAGATAATTCATTAGGCTGGGGGAGTTGCAGCCTTGGGTATCAATGTCGCTACCATCTGGCGATTGAAAGTAGCTAATAGCTTCTTCAGTTCGGTCGTTTGTGTGGTTGCTGAGCAAAAAGTCAAGTCATTGAGCTGGTGGATGAAGAGCACGCCTTACCTTGTGTTTCCGCTTCAGCAAGCTTGGTGCGTAGTTGGCCGCATTCCTCGGTTTTGTGAGCCAGTTGCTCTTTGACTTCGAACGTTTGTCGGTGCGCGTTCGATTATGCCGAGGAAGGAAAAGGGACATACTCAACATTTTCTCTTGTTCAAGGTTCGAAATCGACCCTTTTGCTTTCTCCAGCTCTTCACTCTTCTGCTTCATATCCTCTTCCAGACGTGCGAGAGCAAGACATGCGGTGTTCTTCTCCATCAACGCACGCTGCAAGACCATATCGACTGCCTCCTTGTAATCTTTCTCGTCAACAGACTCGATGCTGACCTGGGGAGGTTCCTTCATTACTTTGGGTTCGACTTTGAGAAGGGTTTGAACGGGGAGTGGATTGATGGGTAATGAAGCCGAACCTGGGGCTGAGACTTCTAGAGCTGCGTTACTTTTCGCGGAAGATTCCTTGTCTGTGATGCACTCCGCGACGCTCTGATCAAGTTTTGCCTTTTTGGAGATCGAAGGCTCTGCACCGTCTGTCTTCTCTGCCGGTCACTTTGATCCTGATTGAGCGGGCTGCGACACTGACGGGGGTGTATCCTGATTTTCGTGTGGTTGCCCTCGCCTTTCCATAGCGTTCCTCCTCTCGGCCCTCTTCCGCTCGCTGGCCTCGAGCAGCTTCAAATCCTTCAAAGCACCTTGATTGGAACGCGTACCGCGCCCACCACCCCATTCGTACCGCTGCTGGGCTTCTTTGGTGGACAGCCCGAGATTCCTAGACGTATACCTGACGATGAATGTCTTCTTCCAAGAGCATGTAATACCACATTCAGAACATGACTCGCAGCGCCAAGGATTGTCTGTGTCCGGTTCGCAAATTAAGTTCTGAAAATCACATTTACTGCACTTGGTCTGGTGGGAGGTCAGAGGTGCGATTTAACGCCCTGCGCCTAGGCATATTGCTCTCACCTTCAGATCGTGCTGAGAAAACTCCCTTGACTCCTTTGAGGCGTTGCAGAGGATGGCTTTGCAGTACTTTTCGTAGCTGATATCTGGATATTTGCTATATAGAGGTGTCTTTGGGAACGGAGAATCGATACAAGGAAAGTATGGGGACCTACTTTCGTTTGGGCTTGGTCTTTTCCTGGCCATCTGCATTCAGTGCCGTCTTATCTTTCGTGGAACTCTTGCCTGCTTGATTGGAGGCAGCCTCAGCAGGAACCAGCGGTTCTTCGACAGTTACGGCCACGGACAGGTCAGGAGCAAGCATAACGCCGAGAGGTGCCAGATAATGGTCGGGAAGAAGAGGCCGGCGGCGAGCTGCGAGCAAGGAAATCGCGGAACCGGGGAATTCGGTGATCCGGCAGCCGGAAGATGTGTCGACCGCGGTTCTGGTAAACCATGCTCGATGCATGATCGGCAGTGGATCGACGGATGAAGCGCCCAAGGGTTAGCGCCATGAATCATCCTCGACTGTTGAATCAAAGGGAATCTAAAACATAAGTACCAGTCGATATGCAAAGCACAAGGGTGTTATATTCGAGAGCTATATTTACTACCTAGCTACTGTAGCTACAAGAAACGCCGAAACAGAACGTCACAGGACGCAAATAGGTCGAAGGTAGTGGTACAGTGTCCGCAGAAGGTGAAGAGGTGTCGTAGATACCGTAAGGAATCATGCCATAGGTACAGATGGGTGTCATGAACGAAGACATGGTGGTTGGAAGGAGGACAAGAGGGTTTCCGAGGGAAGAACGTGTCGATGAAGAAATGAACCAAGGAGGAACAAGCAATATCGAAGAAAGGTTTGCACAGTACCGGAACAAGAAACCAGAAAACAGGACAAAAACAGCATATCAGCTGGCATTGAAGGCAGGTAAGGGCTGATGTCCTTCCTTGAGCAACTTGTCTCTCACACGGCAGAGCGCAAGACCAAGATTGTTACCACCAAGCCCATCGGCGCCAGCACCCCAGAAGTTGTCATTCGTATCCTGGTATATCAGGCGCGCGGTGCCCGTCGCGAGGAGCGTCATTCGCAGGTCAGGATGTTGCCTAAACTTCTGGTACAGCACTTCATCCATCTACCAAAGAAGGAACTCAATATGTGCCCACAAAATACAAGAAAAACAAAACAAAACTCACGAAATCCTGATACTTCTGCGACCAGTCAGGGCGCTGGAACTGCTGGTACGACATTGACAGCGGGTACACATCATGCACCTCTGGCGTGTTTCTGATCATCTCTGCGATATCCGGCCGGTGGTCGAGGAAGCGTAGCGCTTCGTGCAGGTGCAAAGCCGATGGGTAGATCTTGTTCTGCCACAAGATCCGGTGTGGCGAGTGGTTCATAAACATGTGCAGGTTAGGGCTTTCCTGGTCGAACCGAATCGCAGGAGGGCTGCTAGGCACCGGGGGCACAGGCGCTATTGAGGGATGCGGCGAACCGTCTGGGCCGCCAGGAGGTGCAGGACCGGAACCAGGAGGAGGGTGCATGACGAAAGCGCCTTGGTCGGGTCCAGCGGTTAATTGCTCGGTCGTGCCGGTGGGTTGACCGGGTGTGACGGGGCGAGTGTGGTGGCTCATCTGGGATGGGACTCGATGCAGAGAGGTACTGGATTGGAGCGGGGCCGCCGTCGTGCCAGCCAGCGCCCCCACCCCACCCTCCGGTCGTTTGTCGGCAGGCACGAAGACAGGAATGAATCGCACTTGCGGCTGCTCCGGCTCCTTCTGCTTCTCCTTCCTGCTGAAGGCGCGGAAGAGACCCTTGCCTGACTTCTTTCGTTTGACGGTGGGCTGTGGGTTCAGTGCACCCGCTGTGTTAAATTGCCCAGGGCCGTATGTTGCCGTGAGGAGTGCAGTCGTCTGGGGTAGGCTGAGTAGGGACTTGTACGGTGTCATCTCATAAAGATCTCGCGGAGGTGGAGGAAGAGGATTGGACAGAGGTGTTCTTGGTCGTGGACCTGTAGGGCCAAATGCAGCGGCGCTGGCTGCCTCTAGAGGCTCGAGAACGTGTCCGATATCTCCTCGGATAGGCGGGGGGTCGGGATAGCGAACAGTGGACTGTCGGGATGGGGTACGAGCATGGCCTGCTCCTGATCTTGGCCTGTCCTCCTCGTCATCATCATCCTCGTCTTCCCGAGTCCTTCTTGGTACGAAGGGTGTAGGCGCTCGACGATTGGGACCCTGCGCAGCTGGGGCAGCTGCTAATAGACATGGACCCAAGGGTCAGCATATCTTTGACGTGAAGCATGAAATAGAACTGACGTCGTGGAGTAGGAATGACCGGAGGCCCTTGGTTCCGTGACTGGGACATTGACCGAGCGCGGCGTGTTGGCGCTAACATGCTGTCAGGCATCCTCAGACATTTTGACTGAAAGACGACTCACCTTCCTGTCGCCGTGGATCTTCCGCGTTGAATCCTCCCACAAATCTGTCAGACTGTCTCCGCTTCGATTTTCTCTTTCGATCTTTATCCTGCGGGAGCCAGTTGAGCATGGGAGGCGGCATCATAGCACCTTGCCCAAACTGCGCCGCTGGTGGTATGAAGCCCCCCTGCTGAGGAGGATAGGGTGGCGGCACGAAACCTGGAGGTCCATACCCCGGCATATAAGGCGTATATGGATTAGGATACCCCGGAGGAGCGTAGGGGTATTGTTGGTACTTGCTGCTGTTGCGTGTCAAGCCATATTTTGATTGTCCAGAACCCATAGTTTTGAAGGTAGCGATAGTATGCTGCGAATCTAGGTGATAGAGAGCTGGCCTGCTGAAACGTCATCGACCCACCGTTGAACCGTCAGTTGATGATCGGAAATGAGGACATGAAAAACGTACGTGAGTCTTGTTCGTTACGGTTACAAAAGAAGAAAAAAATAGAGAAGTGAAATAAAGTACGAGGAGTAGTGTGAGAGGTAGCGCCGCGATAGGTCGAGGTGTGAAAGGGGGGTTAATGCAATTTCGTCAAGGCAGTGGAATATTGAACCATCGAAGAGCATTGAAAAGGAAATTTCGCCAAGCCATGTACTTTCCACGCATGCATTGTCCCTTGTTTGCCTCCATTTGGCCTCCGGGCTTGCGGGCCGGAGTATAAATATAGATTTCCTCCTGAACATGGACTCAGATATACGAAAGAGAAGATAATAATTTCTAGTGAGATATTGTACAGGTTATCGGGCCATCCAATGTTTACATGCAGCTTCAAAATTGGCATTGCGAATGAAGGTTGGAACAAGAAAGCAAGCATAGCAAGAGAAAAAAGCAGAGCAAAGCAGTCGTCAAACAAGGTCTTTCAAGCGTCCTCATCGGCGACGGTCCAGAAGCTCGGAGTGATAAACGTAAACTCATCCAGGTACCAATAGCTGGTCTTCTTCGACTTGCCCTTACCCTTTTTCTTCTTGGGCGGCTCGACCTTACGCGCCAACTGGACCCACGTACCACCAATTCCCATACCTTCACGCAAGAGCTGGACTTGCTCGGGAATGTTCTCAATGAGCAGCGTGATGTCGCTGTTGAGAGGGTCATGGAGTTTGGCACCGCCCTCTGGAGCTGCTGGAGCCTCGACACCCTCTTCTATGACGGGCCCGTTGGAGGTCTTCAAGATGGTAGGCCGCCTGAGGGCAGGCGACTCGCCCCCATCCCAATCGATCATTGGGCTGAGAAGCACTCGGACGAATTTGTGCTCCAACTCAGCTTCGACGGCGGCGACATCTGGCTCTGCCGAAGCGCCTTGAGAGGGGGCAGGTGGTGGCGGGCCGACGGGAATGATGGACTTGATAACTCGCATAGAGCGCTCGACGATGCCAGGTGCATGGGTGGAAGAAAGGTTGGCAGGTCCTATGAGGGGATATGAAGTCATGTCCCACGCAGAATCGTCGACGACGTCGCTGGCGGCTTCTTCTACTAAACTGGTGTCGATCGGCTGGCCCCAGCCGTCCAAGCCTTCCGCAGACGCGGCCCAAGGCGCGTCACCCGTTTGACCCCAGGATGGGGCCCACGTAAGCGAGGGTTTAGGTTTATCTTCCTCCGTCTTCTGTTTCTTCGTCTGCGGCTCCACCTCCTCAATCCTCGAGGCAATCAGGTCCCACTCAGTCGGCAAGCCGGTCTCGACAACGGAGTAACCGTCGGCCTTTCGGCCCCAAAAGGTCTGGCATCCGAGGCTGAATTTGTCAGGCATGACCTTCGCAATGGCGGAGCAGTTAGGTATTTCGATGAGACCAGCGTTGATGGAGTCTAGGGAACGTCGGAGGGATTGTTCACAATCCGGGAGGACTTTGCTGCGCAGGAGGTATTCGACGAAGAATCTTATGACGCGCGGTAGGCAGTCGAGATTCGCATCCGCCCTGAAACCTTGGTGAGCACACACACACACACCACACGAGAGGAGAGCATCATACCATATGTACCCTTTCGCTTGAGCATACGAAGATAGGAAGATTTTAATCGACTTCTCCGGTTCGTCGAGGAAGGTGGTGAGCTTCTCCTCGTTCGATATGATCTTTTTCTTCGGGGCAAAGGTATCTGCCTGGGTAGTACTTGCGACTGCACTATCCGCTGCAGGCGGGATCTCCTCATTGTCCCCATCGTCAACGTCAGACATCTCATCATCGCGACGCGCAGCTTTCTTCTTTGCCTTCTTTGACTTTTCCTGCCCCAGGATGTCTGACTCGGGAATGCCGATGTAACGCTGGAACTATAACACGATTAGATACGCCACTTCAATTTCATTAGACGCGCACTTACCTTTTCCCAAATGAACGTTGGCCCCGTCTCAGAGGCAAAAGTGATCGGCCATACATGGTCCTTCGTGAATTCGACGCAAGCAGCTTGAATCCTTTCAAAGCGAGAAGCAGCCCTGCGCGACGAAAAGAAATAGGTTCAATTAGCGAGAACCTAGACGAGACCCAGACGACGCGTAGAAGGGGCATCTCCTGGCGACGGACCTGCAAGAAAGAAACTCACGGATTGAGCCCAGTGACAAACTTCAACTTCTCCGCGTCCTCCCACTGTTCCCACCAGACCCTCGACGCGGCTAGACCCTTCTTGCGCGCCTTCTTAGCCTCGACCGCGCGTTTCCTCTTCGTGTTCGTCTTGCACTCGTCGTTGCCGTGCTTGACCTTAATCATGACAGTCGGGATTCCGTACGTGTCGACCTCCTCGTCATCAGGCCCAGGGTCGACGCGTATGCCCTCGGCCTTGAATTCCTTGAAGGGCACGATCTGCACGCCCTCTGGTACTGGCGGGAAAGGCGGGAACGTCAGTCTATGTTCCCGATTGAGAGGAGGGTAGGGTGACTCGTTCTTGTTAGAGACGACGTCAACATCCGCAGCCGACATGGTGGTGGTTTGGAGAAGAAAGACGACGGAAATCGCCGTGCAATCAGCTGGATATAAAGCATTTGTTTATCAGGGCGTCTATCTTGAATTGGAGAAGCTGGAAACCAGGGCTGGTGAATAAAGTTAGCTGACCCGTAAATGTCCCACGTCCAATACGCTTCGTAAGCGAGCGTCGTGCAGGATAAAAATGAAATATATAGAGGAATGAATAGAAAAATCCAAATGAGCGGAAAAGTATTTACGTAGGTAAGGAGAGAAACTGATGTGACACCGATAGAAAATCAGAACGGTGCCAGGAGAGAATAAATGACGAGCAAGGAACGCAATCGAGTTGGACCAGCAGTCTGGTGAAAGAGGGTCGAGTTACAAAAATCCAAAACACGAACCAAGAAAACGACCAGAGGAAAAGAGCGTGCCCAGCCCACACCACCGTTAACTTCTTCAACTAACCACCATCGGCACCATGTAGCTTGTGGGAGAAGAGGCCTTCGCGATCGTGTTCGCCAACGCTCTCCGCTTCTCCTCCCACGCCCTCAACGCGCGTAGCAGCTGCAGAATCTTGTCTCTCTTGCCTTGCCGGACGTCGTTGATGCTGACACTTCCCATCTTCACGTCGTTGTCGAGCAAAAAGTCGAAGAGCCGGAAGAGCCCTTCCAGCTTATCGTCGTTGGAGTCCACGGGAAAAGCCGAGTCAGGAATAGGTGGCGACGACGGTCGGCCCCTGATCGATTCTGCCAGACGCAGCAGGGTGAGACCACCACACAGATACCCATTTGCGTCATTGATTTGGAGGTGCTCCGGCAAGTGAGAATTAGCCCAATCGATCAAGGCATCGTCCCCAGAGTTTGTCTGATAGTAGGTAGATTTGTAAATAAAAGAACTGAGACTATGCGTATAGAATACCAACCGCGGTTCGGATCGAGCTCGTTCTTCTCATCTCTCTCGACGGCCGTGGAGGCGCAGATGTTCTCCTCGGCGTAGGTGGCGTGGCGTCATTGACTGTCGAAGTCTCGCTGCTGAAGAACGAATCGAGACGGGCTCGGTCGTCCTTCGCTTCAGAGCCAGATAAACCCATCAAGACTCGAGCATCACGACTTGAAAGCTGCTCCGGGTTCTCTCTTCGTAGTGCTCGTTGTGTAGCATCGCGAGCTGTCGGAGATGGAGGTCGAGGGGCGGGGTTCATTGCTTGGGCGACAATCAGGGGTATTGTGGGTATATTGCAGGACGACACCACAGGTTCTAACGACAATGAGCAAGAAACGTGGCATATATGCGCTTGAACACTGACTTGTGTAGTCCCGTCCAATCGTCGCCTTCATAATGGCCTTCATCCATTCTCGAATAATCGTCTTTTCTTCCGAGCTGAAGTAATGTGTCTTGTCGCTGTCATGATCAATCCGGAAGCCATATCGCCCAGGGTCCACGTTTTCGTCCACTGTAACTTTGTAGCCGACAATGTGGATGTAACCTTTGATCCGAGTTTCCTGGTTGATACCGTCAGCCCTCGTGGTAGAATAATATCTGAGAGATACGCACCGTTTTACTGCTGCTCTTGAGCCAGTACAGATGAGGGCCCTTAAGGACAAAGTACCGCATCTTCCAAGTATTATACCTCTCGCCTCTCTTCCTCATCCAACCTGTATGATCCGCTTCTCCAATTTGTTCGAGAATACTCTGGCCCTGCTTGATCGGGCCCGAGACTCCATTGACAGATTCAACAGCAGCAGTCGCCCCAGCGGCAGCAGCTGCAGTAGCATTGACGTTCGAAGAAGTCCGCTTACGGAGGGTGGAGTGGTCCTTCTTCTCTTGCTTTGGAGATGAGTCATTAAGAACAACATCCTTGGGCGAATCGCTGGGCGTTGAAGGCCGATGAGAGTTGGAAGAGGACTTGCGCATAGACATAGATGGCCCATGCAACCTTGGAAGACTGAACTTGCTTGACGACTTCTCCACATAGGTATCATCACTGCTGGTGATACTACTATAACAACCACAATTCCAGTCAACTTCAGAGAATAAAAAATGAAAACAACACGAACCTAGGAGGTGGCTTCCGACTCTTGCCCAAAGTACCCACAAATGTCCCTCCGAATATGCTCATCCTGTCGCCATGCCTGCTTGCATCCATGCTCTTCTTCGCACGAGCGTGCCTCCGTCCAACAGTAGCATCTGCGTCCTTGCTACTGTCCTTGTCCTTCTCCTTCGTGCTGCCTTTCGTACTGCCCTTGGTGCTATCCTTGTCCTTCAAGTCTTTGTCTGGGGTATCACGAACGGTAGGAGAGGCAGCAGGGGAATCTTTGGACTTCGAGGAGGAATTGATGATGGAACCCGCAGAGTCGTGCGAACGACCAAAGAGACGGCGGCGCATACTAGTGGCTGTGGGTGCAATTTCGCCCTGCAACATGAGGGTTCAGTCATATTCGCAAAGCAAATAGGAAGAGGCCGAACCTCGCTCATATGGCCTCTGTCTTCGTCCTCAAGGCCACCTGAGACAGCAACGATTGAACGAGCAGCAGAATCCTTCAGAGCACCATCACTCGGTGATAGCTGCAGTTGGACAGGGCGTCCCTTCTATCAGAAAACGGTGTAAGAAATCTGCATTAACATTTGGTGCATAACTCACCCCAGAAGGCGACAAAGCATTCGGTGACATCGCAATGCCCAAACCAACACCACCTGCAGCTGCAATAGCCGACGCAACACCATCCCCTTTGCCGTTACTCTGCGTCGTCGCCGGGCTCTCCTGCACTGTCCCAAACGGACCCCCTCCATACGCGGTCCCATTCCCATTCCCATTCCCACCATACCCCATCGGGCTCCCAAGTGAGCTCTGCACGCTCTGCGAATACCCGTGCCCCACTCCAGGGAACGAATGGTGACTGTGGCTCTGGCTCTGGGTGCGCGAATGCGTGTGTGCGTTGGACGTCGAATGCTGCATCTGCAAAGGGGAGGGGTGTTCGGAGGCATGGTGGTCTGAGAACTCGATGGAAGGCGGGCGTCGTAGGTCAGCGATGGCGTTGGCAATGCGCATACGCTTCCCGAAGGCCATGATCCCAATTTCGGACTTGAGGAGGTTGACGTCGAGTTCGAGGAGGACGTCGCCAGTGATTTCTTGCTCTAATATACAGTCAGATATCTCCAAATGTATAGAAGAGCGGAAGAAACAGCAACGTACCGGTGAATTTATCACAGACGTCTTGGTCGAAGCCTTTGGTCTTGAGCCACTCAATGACTTGCTCCAGGCTCCACTCAGACGGGTGGGTCTTCCTCGAGTCGGATACTGGAGACAGCAACCCTGGCTGTGGGGCAGGCTGAGGAACAGGCACTGTGATAATCGGTGTGGGCATCGTCATCGCAGGTGCCGACGAGGACGAGACAATGCTATCATGCTTCGAGTGCTGATTGTTTGGATGAACTATGGAAGGCAGAGGTTGGCCATTTACAGGCTGCTGTGAAGGGACGCTGCTGCGTCTCTGCTCTGTGGAACTGGCGACTGGAGCGACGGGGTCAGTCGGCCCAGTGAAGGCAGTAGCAACTGGAGAAAGAGGCTTGACGGGTGATGCCGCCCTCTGAACCGTCTCCTCTGCAATAGGTTGGCTTTCCGTAGCGGTTGACGGGGGCGAGAAGACAGGGAATGACAACGTGGCTGCCGTTGCTGTCGGCATCTCTGTCTCATCCCTCGGCGGGACGACGACATCCTTGTTCAAAGCCTCCTTGGATTCCTGAGCCTCTTCCAGCAATTCAGTCTCGTCTTCCTCGGGGATATACGAATGATGGCGGTGGAACTTGCTGGATCGCGTGAAATTTTCCTCATCCTCAGCATCACTCTCATCGCTGAGCTCGACTTCAATAGGTGGGACGATTTCCCTCCGGATGCTGCCCTTGTCGTCGCCAGACATCATGGCTTCGAGCTTCTCTGCTTCTTCGACTGCTCTCCTGGCTTTAGCAGCCAGCTTCCTCCGCGCGTTCTTGTGCCAATCCTCTCCATTGGTGTCGTCTGTGGCTGCATCAATGTCGCTTAAATCAAAATCTGTGTCCGTCTCGGTGTCGGCCCCGTCCCGGGTGCTCGCAAAGCTGAAACTCCTTGCTCCGTCCCCATCTTCCCCACCGGCACCACCGCGACCGAGCTGTTCGATGGCCTTTTGTACGTCCGTCATCGTGGCTTTCATCACTTCACCATCAGCCGCGGAAGCCAGCCGCAGCGATGTGTCTTCCCCGTTGGCGAAATCACTTTCGTAGCTGCCTCCATTGAGGAACTGAGCTGGGAGTGCCTTGGGTACCGGCGAAACGATCTTGGGAGAGTCTGATTCGTTTTCCTCATGCAGCGGCTGTAAGACGGACTTGCTCGTCGCAGCAACAGTTGCAGAGGTATCGGCGGAGGTGGAAGCAGAGGCTGCTGGGGGTGCTGGGGCAGTGTAGGAGACAGGGAACAGTCCAACTTTTCCTGCTAGATTTCGACCCTAAGAAAACGATTCGTAAATGTGGGAGACAAAACACAAAGACAGATGATGACATACTTGCCACCAGCCGTCTCCGAACTGATCATCCTTCTCGATGACTTCTAATCGCTCGCCGGCACGGAAGCTGACCTCATCTTCGTGCTCCGGGGCGAAGTCGTGGAGAGCGTAGACGTATTCGGGCATTCAGGTCTGGACTAAGGCGAATGAAGTTAGGGTATTGTATTACGCAGCCGCGTGAAGACGGGGTTTGTCGGCTGGGTTCTCGTAAGGCTCGATGCTCGACTGGCTGACGGGCGGAGGTGGTGTGCACGACAGTGTGTGTTCAACTGGTGAGAAGTGGGGGGAATGGGGGTCTGTGTGGGATTTGGAGGTCGGGGGATATAAACCTTGTACAGTTCGGAGTCGGTCGGTGAGCTTCTTGCGACTATTCTGTCGTTGGTTGGTCGTTGACGGTCGTGAGAAGAGGAAGGTGTATCTGTGGGGATCTCCCTGGCTCTCGACAGCGGCGGCAAGGGCTGAGAGAGCCGACGATGATGAGGGGAAGAGGATAACCTTGTCTCGCGCAAATATTGTCATCACACAATGATCATTCCGGTCCACGTGCTTTCAAATAACACCCGATTTTCCAGAATAAATTTCAAACTATTTTTTTTTCTTCCTACAACGCGGGCACTTGGAGAACTCCAGAATTTCCCTTTCTTTTCCCTCAATCGTTTTTCAAGGTAGCGCTCTCCCCTCGTTAATCGCTTTCGCGACCATGCTGGTATTCGGTCGATTAAACGCATATCTGCCCACCCCGGTCCCCAGTTAGCATGGAAAAATCGACACGCGCTCCCGGGGTCTCGGGCGCACCTCTCGTAGCTGTCAAGGTACAATTGCTCGGTGCTACATGTCGCCTTGAACGCCGGGTGTTCAAAGAGACGGTCCAACCAGGCTTTCACCCTCTCGCCTTGTGGCAACTGGAATCCTCGGTAGTGTGTCAAGACAACTTTCGCTCTGAATAGCCCTATACAAAGCAATCCTCGCGTCAGCAGCCTGCCAGCTTGGGTGGATAAGCACTCACAAGGACCAGCCATGATGTCTGCCCACCCCAAATCCTGCTCTCCAGGGACCCATAATCCAAGTCCCTTCCTCAATGCTTGAAGTTCGCCTTCACCAGAAGCACCGCCAGGCTCCAGGATTTCCCGTTCCGCTCGCTCAAGGAGCGCGACAAGGCCTTCTAAGGAATCATGGAACTCTGTTCCGCCCTCGATCTGCTTTTCCTCGGTCTGTGCCTGGAGGTAGCGATAAAATGCAGGAACGAGATAGCGATTGACATGGTCTGCCTGGAGGCGCAAGAGACCTCTGGCATCTTGTCGTTTCTGTCAGATCCTTCCAACAAAGAGAGAGAGAGAGAGGTGACTCTAGCTCACATGGGTTCGTGATAAGAGGAAGAATGCTACGCTTCGTCGTCGTTGCTGCAAGGCTACAAGTGCACGGATACTCGTCAGCAAGCTAACTATATGCGGGCCGGCGAATAAGGACATACTCCTCCAAGTACTCCAAAATAACCGTGCTCTCATTGAGCGATCGAGGAGGGGTATATCTATTGAGTCGCAGCCCAGGAACGAGGCCTTTCGGCGAGACTTCAAGGAGTTCTTTTGGTTTCTTGTATGGATCGACTTCATCTTTGCATCCCCTGGTAACGAATCCCATTGCATACTTGACGTATCACTCACAATACTAAGCGTTCTTTCATGACTGCATACAATTGGCGAATTGACTAATCACGAACCTTGTAAGGTATACCAAGCACCTCGAAGGCGACCCAAACTCGCTGTACAAACGGGCAGAAGCACCCTCCAAAAAGCGTGATATCTTCATCTTTTTGATGGTTCTTCACCGTGATCAGGGCATCGCCCGTCGCTTCCGTGTGGTATGGCCTTCCTGTATCCGCCTTTCGACTGGGAACGTCGGTCATCCTGAGGGGATATGGGAGGAAAATAATGGGACCATCGTACAGTAGTCAGGGTGGTTATCGATATCTCAGGCTGTGGGAAACATCTGACCTCATTTCTAAATTTAGCTGTCTGGTCTTGAACACAAAATGCCTAATTCTGAAGGCAGAAGCCTCAGAACGTACCCAAACTATCGCCGCTTTGTTTGCTGATCTGCTATTGCACATTTTCAGGTTTGATCAATTTTCACCATAGAGTACTGCTTGGCATATAAAAGACTGGCGAATACAACGATCGTACCGGAGATGGCAACTCTCAGAGAAGAGAGCCCAGGATTCTCCGTCGCCATTCAAAAGAAAAATTATGCCAGTCAAATAAGGTTTTACATGGTGGTAAGTGGAAATATATTACTCTGCCCCACGGACGCAACGAATCCTCCCATTGCCGACTACAGAAGTGCCGAGACGTTGTGAATTCAACAAGTTTGAATATGGTTCAGACTGCACTCGACATCTGGACCCTGTACGCGAAGATCGTTCTGTTGGTAGTACGTCTTGGAATTTCAGTTGTCTCGTTTAAACGGAAGAGAGGTCATTCCCTTTGACCGGGTCCGAAGTCGGTGGTGGCAGTGCCCACCGACCTTTAGCGCCGGCATCAAGCGCCTGTCACTTCCCATAGGCTATGCTCTCCAGCTGCTAGATTCGTCATATATCCGTCAAATTCCAGGGGAATTGTAACCTTAAGGCCTCAAGATACACTTGGAAAATTCATCATACGTACTTTACATTTACAAATGTAATCTGCAAGACAAATCTAGTCTGTTAGCACAGTGCCGAAGCTCAACGCTCATCTCGTGGGGATTCTTTCTCCTCTCCGCCATATACCTACACAGCAGTGGCTCTCCTAACTACGATATCTGCTAAAACTTTACTCTCGTCATCGAAAGAGGGAGCACTGCTCTCCGAGTAACCTCTTTTCTTCTCTTCGGTTCCAATACGCTCCACAAAATCCTGCAAGGTGCATTCAAGAATTCTTGATATACGTTTTTCTGAGAAAGCGCTTGGAACCCCATATGGAAAGTAGTACTTTCCATGAGAGCCTCTGGTGCGGACGATTTCAAATGCTTTCATAATTCCCCAACATCCGCCACGAGAAAGTTTGCTGACACCGATATACTTACGTGCTATCCTCTGATCGTTGATGAAGCAAAATGGCTGTGATGGTTTTTACTTCACAGTGGATCAGTGCCCATAAATGCGTGTTCTAGCAATTCTGTGGTGAGCCGGTTGAGTGTGTTGTTCACCAGATCTTTTCTCTGCTGGAGAGCAATCTCATTCACGTCCTTGCGTTCCGTCTCTGGATTCTCAAAGTACTCCTCCAAGACGGTGCCAAAAATTTCCATGTGACGGTAGAGCTTCTATGCACTGGTAGGTGGTCCATCTGTCGTGTTGCAGCCAAAGGGGACGTTTCTATGTCGGAAGCAACAACTTCATGCTCTGACGCACAGGCCCAATGTCGGAAATTTCCGAAATGCCTTACAAGGCATTATTAGCGACGGCAGACATTTGCCTTACAACGCATTACAAGAGTTAGTTATGCCAATAAAAATTCCATCCTGCCGCTCTGAAAGTGGTATAAATAAGTGAACCGGTGAAGGTGCGACGTTACATCTGACATATGCCTCTGGTACTGTTTTTTCTCTAATATTCCTCACAGTCGCCGAAAAATAAAAGATTTTGTTGAACACCCCTATCTCGAACCGCCTGCCGAAACGGCTTTTCGGCTTCTTGCGATGCCTTGGTAAGGCGTCTTCCTTGTAGGGCAATTTGGAAATTTCCGACAAAACCAGTGCATAGATGTGCGAGCTGGGAACTTTCATTTTGGCCTAGTAGCGTTCGAGGGGGAAGTTGGTAGCCTTATTTTTAAGAACCAGAAACCCAAAGTCAGAGGAAGATCCCAATGCAAAGAACAGAGAAAAGCGAAAATTTCTTTCTCTTGCTTCTGAACTCCACCAAATTTTCTCACGCGGATCCGGAAGACAAGCTTAAGCTTGCTGAAGGAATTCAATTGCACGGAGTCCCATTTGTCCACCAGAAAATGGATCTTATCTGTAATGATCACATGAACCCTGGGGTCAAATGTTTTATGGCCGCTAAATTTGTCAATATAGCCTCCCAATTGCTCAAGGCCCTTCAAATCCTCCTCTACAAATATATTAAAATTTCCAAGCCGCTTGCAAACCCTGTGGAGATGCTTTGGGAACGTGTATTTATGGATGACTCGGATGGCCTTGAGCTCTTGAAATCTCTCTATGCCGCTTCTATTTTCCATTAATGCCAGCGCGGCGTCTCATTGAATGTCTGAGGCTGAGAAACGATTCGTAAACTTCTGTGCGGCGCACAATTCCTGTTCAAGTAATTATCAGACGGACTTCGACGCCAAGGACGAGTTCGGAGAGTTCCGAGGAAGGAAATCTTCGACTGCCTAGTTCGGAAGGCTTGTGTGCCGTGACACTGGCGAGATTGCGATCTACTACTGTGAACGCCATAAATGCCCCGCGATCAGTCTACGTCACATCTCCCGCTATAAAACCCCTTCGATTTCACTAGAGCAGCCCAGATCCAACGATTTGACCCTGCCAGCCACCTACAACTATGTCCGGCTCTACAGCTTGCTCTCCTGAAGCTATCGTCGCTGCTCTCAGTGTCCTTCCTCGCGATACCCTGAAGGGCGAATACACTAAATTTTCTAATGCTGCTGCGGAGGTTTGGGTTGATTCCGAGGAGGAAGAGGATCTCTTGCCCAATATCGCCTCCGCCCTAGCTACAGCAGTCCAAGTCCGCGATAAAAATGAAGAGCAGAGATCGGTCCTCGCCCTTATGCTACATGGAAAACGGGCAACGATTCATTATGTCGCCAATTCCGGCGATAATGATGGCACTAAGACCCAGTGCCTCGAAGATCTATGGAGTACAGTACAAGCAGTTGCTAGGAAGGCAAGGCACTCTCCAAGAAGACGACCCTCTATGTGAAGAGCTTTTCCTTATCTTGTCCAAGTATCATTCCACCAAGTGGCTACTCGCGCACCTTCAAGCCGGTCTGGAGAAATTTTAGGTCATTGTTACCGCCGTCATTCAAACTCCTTTGAATAATATATCGGAAGAGGTCATGAAAGGCTTGACAGAGCTTTTGGCTTCCTCGAGCACCGTTCTCAGGGGCCCTTCCATCGATCCACACGCCTTGTCGAAGTATATGAGAAGGATGGCGCTTCTTGTGGCCTATAATTTCATAGCAACACCAAGTAAGAAGTTATATTTTGGCACTGTTGGTCTCCTCTGACATTCCATGGGCAACACTTCAGGTCCTTGGCTTTACGAGCACATGCGTGATGCAACCGAACCCTTCCGCGCGATTCTTACCCTTTTCTCGGTGGCGAAAATTGCCGCGTCTCGGAAACTCCCAATCTTCGCCCGTCCGTTCTCCGTGGTGAGGGTGGAAATGTCCTCTCAAAAGCGAACCTTTTCCATCCCAAGCACGTCGGAAGCATGGAGAGACATGGTAGCCAAAATGGCCGCCGAACACGAGACGCTCAGACTCAAAAAAGATTTCGCTGAGCAGCTGCACGCTACATATTCTAAACTGCACGGAGAGGGTAACTGCCATGTTGAAGACGAAGTTTTCCTCCTACAGTGGATGTTCACGAGGCAGGATGAGTTCAACGGGAAGTGCTGTGTCGGGATGAGCAAGCAGCCATCAGTTCCATCAATCATCTATTATCTAGCCCTAGGAGAAGAGCTTGATCCTGATGAAGATAATGGAAAGTGGGTGTCTCCCCCTCAGTTCGTCTGGAACCCCTTTCAAATTCGTCCGCTCCAAGAGGAGACCATTCCATTCCCCTGGTCCCTTTCTGCGGAATGTACGGAGGAACTCAAGAACAGCGTGGTACATAAATTGTTCGATGTCCTTATGCAGACCCTCAAGAAGTCCAAAGTCCACATAGTACTGTAACTTACTAGGACGAGCGGTGTGAAATAGTGTAAGTAGATAGTGTTTGCATGAAGTGATACTGTGATGATTCTTGATTTTTGTGGTCTAAATGCGACCATCAGGTTTGTAGGCCTGATTGATATCAAGCAACCTATGATAAGCAGCTTTTGAGGCCTTTTGAAGGTACACTTGGACCTGACGTCACCCTAGATTTCCACCGGACATTTCAGGGTCCTGTAGTCGCCCCGGCGCCTGTGCAATTTCGCGGATAAGGTCAGTATCGTGTCGACATCCTTGCATCGGGCAGTGGCGCTCTATGCCCACCAAATCCCGATATGTATGGGCAGACTTAGGAAACAATGGCATAAACCATTATGGTTGACGTTCGTTGAGATCCAAGCATATCAAGAACTGGATCGGGAACATAAATGAGCTTTAAAATCGACGTGAAGTTGCGACGCACCTTGGATTTGACTTTCCCTCAGCGCATTTTGCACCCAACCTGAAAGGCTTTCCGTCTTGAGGATTCAAGAATTCGAGGCAAACGAAGAATCATATGCTACAGATGTACTGTACACGGTGGTATACTTTGGGTTGGAGAGGATGTAGCGTGTGAATTTTACAGGTGTTGGCATAGAGGAGGCAGAGATCAGATCGAGACAGGGAAAGAAGATTGAAAGACCAGAGTACAGCAGAGAGACGAGCAACCGGAGGTGAGAGGAAGGCAACGAGAACGAACGAAGAACAAAAGTCCTAGCAAGCAGGGAACACCGAAGACTCCAGCAATTCACTGCAAAGCACCATCAACCCTTCTACCAAAATCCAAACGAAACAAAAGCCACGCACCAGATTCAATATAGACGAGATATCCCTCTTGTTCGAGCGCGTGCTGCTTGCGGCGCTCGACGGCTCCTCCGAGTACCGCGGGCGCACGTTTGGGTCCTTGAATCTCAGGCGCCAGTTCTCTATAGCATCTTCATCTAGGCCGTCACGTATGCGGTACCACAGCCTCAACACCATCTGCGCGTTGGGCCGCTGTGTGAAGTCGGACGTGCGCATATAGTCGATGAGATCGTTCAGGAAGTCAAGGCTGTGGTATTTCTAGAACGATTCTGTCATAAACAGGCACTTTGACAGGAAGAAGACAAGAAGAAGGGAGGCAAGAACTTGACGTACCCGTAACAGATCCTTCAAAAACACATTCCCCAGCGTATAGATGTCCAGCTTGAACGGATCGTACGGCTTGCCCGCGAGCAGCTCTGGCACGTCGCCGTCGTTCCCGCCGATATCCCTTACGAGCGGCGTCGTGTTGGGCGGGATGTGGTAGCAGTTGCCGAAACCGACAAAGTAGTACCGCACGGGGAGGTGCTTGCGCTCGAGCGGCGAGATCTTGGTCATCCCGTCCGGCTCGCAGAAGTGGGACACGAAGTGCCAGCCGGTGGGGATGATTGACTTTGCGTCCATCATGATGTGCTCGCCGGTCAGGTTGCTGGAAAGGACGACATCAACGCATGTCAGATCATATGAGGGATGAGTAGGTGGTCTCATCAGACGTACTGATGTGCGACGTTGTTTTCGTGCAGGAACGATAAGCCCTATCAGTGTAAATGGGCGCCAAATGGTCAGAGTTCCGCGATCGGAATGAGACAAGAAGTGAAGAGACCACATACCTCGAGGACCTGGCTTACAAAGTCGACCACCTCGCAGACGGATAGAAATTCGGGATCGTCAAACTTGCGTAGTACGGGCATGACCATGTACTGTATGTGGGGGGAGAAGCTGTCGCCGAACGTGTCGTAGAACGGGACTACGTGGTTTCGGGTGTCCGAGGACATCCTCCGCGTCGAGAAGTACTCTACGACCTTTATCTGGCGCATTTTCTTGGGGTCCTGGATCATCTTGATGCATACCACCAGCCCGTCTTGCCTCCTTACCCCATCCAGCACCTGGGGAAGCTGACGGCCACAGTGAGTCCGCTGGGCCACAGAAGAGAAAGAACACGACGCACAATCTGCATGGTATGATCCTCCCCACTATGGTAATGCCTCCCATTCCCCAAGCACGTCGGTGTCCAGTTGGGCTGGTAGCGCGGGCGGAGCTGGTACCCGCGCTGGTAGAGGTATCCACAGCGATCGCGCCAGATTTTCTCGGACGGGCTGAGCGTCGGCGGGTAGTAGACAGGCGGCAGCTCGAGTGGGCCCTGTTTCCTCCTCTTCGCGGGCGGGTATCCTGGGTCACTGGTACTGGGGTAGTAGGGCTCAGGGCTGGGCTCGCGTTGGCGCTGGCGGCGGATGGATCTGCCCTTGGCGTCGATGTCCGACCAGTCGACGGGGCGGAGCCGCGGACGGACGCCGAAGCTCATCGTTGACGACGACAGTGCTGGCGATGGGGAGGGGGTCAGATGGTGGTGGTGGTGGTCAAAGCGCAAGAGGGATATTCATGGCTGGGAGTCCCACGCCATGGGAGATATAGAGAGAAGACCAGGGGCGCCAACAACGCACCACGGAAAAGGGCCCTTCCCCCTTTCGGCCGTTGGGGCTCCCACGTGGTCACCCTTGTAGGTCCATGTTTATCTTCCTCATGCCACGCGTGCTGCTTCCGACTCCTGCGTCCTCTCCCTTCGTCAGGTATGTCCCGCCGGCATGGCGTGATCGAGAAGACTCTCAGGTCGTTCAGAGCACAAGACAGCTGCAGATCAGATTTCTTACGCTCACAGAAGACTGCGTCGCTGCATGCCAATTCAATGGGGCTATTTACAACATCTTCTTATCCGAGTGGGGAAGCCCGGTGTCTGTGTGCCCCTCTTTTACCGTCGTTTATGAAAACTAAACCAGACGAGGCTGAAGGATATGTTAAATCCGCATAAGAACCTCACTGACAAGGTGTTTGCTGAAAATTGATTAACCGGGGTCTCTTTGCGCTTGGCACTGGCCCTTCGTGAGCATGATGTGATAAACAAGATCTAGCCGACGAGATCGGCAAGAGAGTCGCTTCGGTTATCCACGGGTTTCCGCACCATCCACGAGAGCAAAATACCAGATGAGACGGTTGAAAATCGCTCGTAGGGCTCATACAACCCATGAGAACCTCAGAAGTCATAATTACTTCCTTTCTTCATCACAGAAGGCCTATGTACGTATTGGTTTGGAATTATAGAACACCGGACGCGGTGACGAGAGGTCATCTGAAAGTATGTAACCTTACATACCTTATTGGTCCCTAACGTTATGGCAGAAGCTCAGGAAGGTTATATGTCGGATATGGTGTGTCTTCCCCGCACTTTTGGGTGTATTCATATGGAAGGTCTGATAAAGATTAAGCAGGCTTCAGCCAGTACGCTAGTCCTATGCAAGTCATATTATCTACCATGCCGCAGGCTGCATTTATAAATTTAGAAGAGTTTCTAAATAGTCCGGCCTCGCCGACCTACCCGCTCTTCACCAGGAGCCGATTTTGCGCGGTGGTATATTATAGCTCATGAACACAGAGTTACTAAAACACTTCAGAATGCATCAATATCGTACATGTTGACGTTAACACTTATTTGAAACAAACCAACTAACGATCCTCCCTTATGGCGTCCTCATCGATCTACCCAACCCGACCAGCCCAGCCGACCTCCCCTCCGCAAGAAGCTTCATCAAATCCAACAAGCCTGCATCACAAACATGTATCAGCGTATTAAGGACCACAAGACAGAGTTGCTAGAACTTACATTTTAATGCTAAAAGTTAATTGAGCAAACCAACTAACGTTCCTCCTTTATGGCATCTCCAACGACCTACCCACCTCAACCGGCCCAACAACCCCCTTCTCTGCCAGCCTCTTTACCAAATCCAATAAAACCACATCACATCCCCTCCTCGCCACAAGCTGCACCGCGACAGGTATCGACTCCCACCGCCTGCTCACCTGGCTGAAATACGGTGCTTCTCCGAGCGGGATCGCCACCTCGGGCAGGTCGGCCATCGAGGCGACGTAGTGGAAGTACTCAGAAGATTTGGGAGGGTGTGGGTGTCCTGGCGGCGGAGAGGTGAGGAGGACAGGAACAGACCCGGCGAGGTGGTTGAATTCCTCGACGCGGTAGGACGGGTGCCCGCCTGTGCCTGCGTCGTACATGAAGAGCGCATCGGAACACGAGGCGCGGTCGTCTTTGAAGACGTGCGTCGCCAGAGCGGTGCGAAATGATTTCTTCACTTCCACCGCCTCATTGAAGTCCTGTTCGGATATTGACTGGGCGCGTGCGAACACCCGCTGAGGGACCGGGTCGAAGACCGGTTTCTCGCCAAACCGATCTTCGAACGCGAGGATTGTGGGCTTGCCCACGGATTGCCAGGAGCGGTACTCTGCTAGCGTATTTGAGGAGAGTTGGAAGGCTGCAAAGCTCCCGTTGGGAAAGAACGGAGTGAGGATCTCGGTGAAATTCGTGTGTACGGGTTTCATTTTGAGATGGGTTTGAAGCGAACGGACAAACTCGTCGACGAGCTTCTGCGCCGCTAGACTCTTCATGTGGAAATGGTCCGTTGGGTAGAGCAGCTTCTTCGGGAAACGCGAGGTTGGTCGTCTGCTGACGACCAACGAGTCCGCATACCTGCTATTAATTAGTATCTCGTTTATAAACGAAAGCAGGAAGTGAACACTCACCAGCTCCTTGCAACCTGATCAAAAATCATCGGATGGCGCGCGAAGAACCCGGCCGTGTCCATTTCCTCCGACAACGGCAGCACCCCATCCAGAGGCAACGCCCCATGTGTTGGTCTGATCCCGTACACACCTACCAGCGCTGCCGGCTTCCGCACGCTGCCCCTCGTATCGCTCCCAACCCCAAATTCCAACCACTCATAGCCTGCAACCGCACATGCGCTGCCCGAGCTCGACGCCGACGCGCTCAGATACCCATCGCCTCTCGGGTTGTACGAGTAACCTACGTCACGGAACTCCCAGGGTTGTGCCCCATGTGCGAATTGCGACGTGCGGGTCTTGCCGACGAGGGAGGCACCGAGAGAGAGGAGGACTTGTACGGAAGGTGCGGTGGAGGTGGGCAGGGGGTTGACGAGGGAAAAGGCCGTGGACCCAGCGAAGGTAGGCAGGTTTTCGACGTCGAATATGTCTTTGAGACCGAAGCGCGTGCCTGCGAGGGGTAGGTTCCGGGTTGAGATCATCGTCAGACGCGAGGGCACGGGTATGAGCTGGGGCGTCGGCCCTTCCTCTTCCTCCCGCTCCGAAGCAGGCTGCGCAGGGGTGGTGATATTCGTCAAGATCCACCCGCCCTGCACCACGTTCGGAATCGTGCCAAACGCAAACGCCTCATACTCATCAGGGTACAGCCTATACACGGCATGCACCGTGATTCCCTCCTTTCCATCTCTCCTCTGCTGAAGCACCAGCGGGCCGGGGGGTATCACCTCCCTCAACACGATCTGCGAGCTCGGGATCTTCTCGTTCGGCGGGCGCTGGATCGGGCCCTCGAGCAGCACCTGGCGGACACCGAGCGTCTTCAGCCATAGGTACGCGCTCACTTCGATCCGTGCGGGGCTACCGCCTCTGTACGAGATCACCAGCGTGCTGAGGAAGTCCTTGGACCAGACGTCGTCGACCTTGGCGTACGTCAAAAGCTGCGGCTCGAGGGACTCGCGGGTGATGCTGGCGTCTTGGACCCAGACGTTCGTTGCTGGATGGAGGTCGGTGGAAAGCGAGAGGGACGGAGAGACGTAGGATATCGTGTGGGACGGTTGGGATCCGGAGAGGTGGAGCACGTCGGGGGAGGTGGAGGTGGGGAAGTTGAAGATGGTGCCGAACCCGAGGAAGGATAGTGGGACGAGGGGGACTCCGACCACATATGTGGGTAGGAGTCCCAGTAGCGAGAACGCCGCTATGCCAGCAGGGATTCCTCGACATATCCTCATCATCGCTCTGTTATTTTAACTGGGCGTTCTGCCTGCTCGTCTGGTCAGTCTTAACGCATCCCATTGGTAACAAAGGTAATAAATACTCACCGCAAATCCTAGCATTCAAGCACCTTAACCCGCTCTTTAGAGCGACAAGGAGGAAGAAGAGAACTCGAGAAGCCTGACATGGCTGCTTGGGAAAACATGACCTCGAGTTAACCCAAGATTAATCCGACGGAGCGTGTGTGGCACGTATGGGGAATCATACGTGTCACCAAACAAGATTTCGTGGTCAGTTATTGACGGAATTCGAGGCTTGTTGTGACATTTCGCATTCGGGGATCAATCTTGGAGGCGAGGTTGTTGGGCGTAAGAGGAAAACCCATTCAAGTTGCGCAAGCCAAGCCTGAAGAAAGTGGCGGGCCGGGAGGCCTGCCTTTCGGCTGCTTCCGTGCGACTCAGGGGCTACACAGGAATCAGCCCTCCATTGGCACTCCGGCATTTGAATCGCCCGTTGGAGACATACTTTGCTGCTAGAAACTAGAAACACTCAAAAGGCCCCGGATTACTACACTCCAGCCAACCAGAGACTCCAGCAAGCTTGCGATCAATTCCTACGACGGTCTGCAACGACAATAGCAGGTTTTTTTTGCTACAACCAATTAATTGCAACACCATGGCTCCTACTCCAGGCTCTTCTCAGCCCGGTTCACCCGACGCAGGTATACTCGTGCAAGAACGGCAACCTGCGACTGTTGTCGAGCCGAAGCCTTCTACGAGTTCGTCAAAGAGGAAGTACGCGAAGGGAAAGAAGAAACCTGATAACATGTACGCGCAACCGCTTCCACACTTACACGCCTCTCTCAAAATCAATGTAGCTCGCACTTTGTCAATTATATAAACGTCCGCTACGACACATATATCAAGGCGATCCTCTGCCAGAAATCGAGGGAACTCTGGGAATTTTCACTGCGTTCTCCCAAGGTGCGTCGCAAGCCCGTGAACGGATCGCCAAGTTGTTAACTCGACTTCGGGCCTGCAGGATGCATGCGACAGGTGCAAAACACAGGGATTGGAGTGCCTCCCCGACGAGACATGTCACTGGCGGTGCAAAGTGTGCAGAACCGGTTCCAGAAAGTCCTGTTCTTGGAAGACGGATTTTATCCTGATGTTCACGGGAAGAGATTTCGGACTGCCCTTAGATGAAGCTCGAGACTGGTACTCCAGCGTCGACCACCCGCAGCTGAAACCGAGTCCCCATGCGTTGGCCAAACTCGATAAGGCACGACCTCCACCAAAACCGTACCCCAGGACCGACGGGCCGGTAGACCCTTGGCTTCGCTTTCATGAAATAGGTTTGAGAGCGCCGATACTAGTCGTGAACGATTCGGAATTTGAAGGAACGGAGGAACCACCAGAAAAGCGGCCAAGGCTGTTGCCTACCGAATCCGAGGAAGAAAAAGAGACGTTGTACCAGGAGCCAGAGGCACCAAGTTCTGAACCTGGTCCCCGGAGCACAACTCCACAGCCACTTGCATTCCCAGCGGCGAATGTCGCGTTCAGCCTAGTCTCATTACGAAGGGCATCACCCAGTCCACCGTCGACGCCCGCACACCTAGCCCCAACAGTGGGGCCGTACTCCAACCAGTCCAGTGCCGGAGGTTTCGAAGGAGACTACCCCATCGAGTGTGCGCTTCTTGAGCATCGCTTCAGAGCGACAGAAATACAGAAAGAAACCAGCTTTCACCGAGGATTCTTCGTCAGGAGCTTCGTCCAGTCCGGATCGCCCATCTCCAAAGCCTGTCGAATCGCCTTCGCTCTCAACGACAAACAGCACAGCTAGTTCAGGCATCTTACCTGACGCCAGAATATCAATTAAACTCTCCGGCACGAAGTACAAACGACGGGGCCCAGAACCGTGAACGTGCTCAATACAGTTTCCCACCGCCCCTGCCAACGGCGCATCCCAAAGCCAGCCCATACAACCACGTGTGCGCTCGCGCCAACAGCCGTGCCTACGCCCAAACCATGGGCCACAGAGCCTCCGAATAAAGCAGCAAAACCCAACATGCCCGTCAGCAAGGAGCAGCACGAAGAGGCCATGGAGATCGTTCTGCGGAAAGCGCTGGAAGCTCAGGCCACCGCCGAGACAGCTCTCATGTTGCTGGAACAGGAGAACAGGTTCCAAGCGGACAAAAATATCGAACTGCAAGAGCGATTGGCAGCAGTGACGAAGGAGAAGGATGAAAGTAAGTCCCCCTTTCGAAGACTTGATAGAACGAGACTAAGGCAGCTAATATGTCTCCCAGTCAGAGCAGAGTTCACGAGCAGAATTTACCTTCGTCGGTGTTGCTTCTGCGTGCAAGAGAACATCGTTCAGCCTGAAAGGCAATTCAGAGTTCCAGCAGCGAATGGAGGCAGAAATTCAACACCTTGGGGTCGCAGTTTACAGTATATCTACTCAACTCGAATGAGAGGTCATAATCGAGGATTCTAGTATATAACATACCGGTGAATAAAGTAGGTGATGAGATCTTGAGAGCTGGTACCACGTCGGTTCCGACTATAAATCGCTTTTCACCCGCACATTGGCGCATTGTCTTCATTTTCCCCTTCTGCTGTTGAGACATATCTCACCTTCTGAAGCCAGATTTTGCAATAATCTCTTTGGGGATTCCAATAATTAAGATGAGGACGTATGCCGTCATGAAACGAACTCAGCGAAGGAAAGTGATAGGAAAGTTGAGGCGCTTCACTGACGTCAGAGTCATTGTAGAGCACATTACTTACCCACGCTTCGGCAGTCTCCGACAGTGGCATAAATTAAAATAGGTCCCACGATCCAACTTCAAGTTGAACTCAATCACTCAAGATATACCTCTGAAGCTCACAAATTCTTCCAAACATCATCCATAACATTAAAATACAATCGACAGATAGCCGAAAGCAGTTCATGATCGACTTGCGCTGTCGGTGAAGCTTGAAGGAATATGCAACCTTCGCAATTTCTCTGAGAGCCGGAGTTGAGATCGACATCGCCCATTACCCCCGTTCTGCAAACGACGGGAACGCCATGGGCACTTCCTCCAGCTCTAATAAGATCGGTATCGCTGAAGAAAGTACATCCGAGCCTGAAGCTACCGCAATCAACCTGAGGATTTCGAGGAGGTATTGTGCAAATCTCATTTCTGTACTTTGACCCTTCTCTTACCACCAATTATGGTGACAGATTTAGCAAGTACCCAAAGATCCCCTACGACACCTATGTCAAAGCCATTCTCTGTCAGACTTCAAAGGAGCTCCTGGAGTTTGGGCAGCGTGTACCCAAGGTATGCACAACTCTTTCGTCTAGAGTATGTTCAGTCCTTAAGAGCTCGACCTTTTCACCATCAAGCTTGAATGCCACCACTGCAGCCGGAGAGGTATTGCATGCCTTCCAGAAGACGCAGACCATCTTCGATGCAAGCCATGCCAAGGATTGGGATGAATGAAAAACGAAGGCTATTGCTCTTGAAAAGCAGGGTAGGTTTGGACCATTGTTATTGAACGAAGCAGATCTTAACTAATAGTTTATCTAGCAAAACGGCAGTCAGACGAAGGCACAAAGCTATTGAAAGAGCTCGCTTGTGCGATGGGCCTGAGTGTGGAGAATATCCGGGTAGCCAAATTTTGTTCGAGGACTATATCGCGTCCTGATATATACTACTCCGTCTAGTCACTCGAACAAGACGCCAAAATAAAGTATACGAATAATAAATTGTAACATACCGGAACGTTCACCAAGTGGACAAAAAGATTCGTTAGGAATCTCAATCCTCCCCCGAGTCGCTCGTCACTCCTTTCTCTTCATTCTCCTCCTCCTCCTACCACTCCTGGTCTTCATTGACGTACTCCAGCTTGGCGTGTCGAATCCTGCCATGCATCCTCACATAGTCCGCGAACGCCTTCCGCGTCACCGCACCACTCGGAACACACACCTCCAGGACCTGTAGCTGCGGCGTCGTGCCTCCATCCTTACTCCTCCTCAGCTCCATCAAGCGCGCAAGCGTCGCCCCATCGAAATAATTCCGCATATGGAATTGCGAAGTCGTCACTTTGAGTTCGCGGAGGGACCTCAACGATTCGAGGAGCGCGACGAAATCTGCACGACCCAGACGAACGCCGTCCAACTCGAGCCGGCGCAACTGGCACCGTGATTCGGTGACGAAAAACGCGAGCTCCTGCTCGATGCCCATGTCAACCGCGAGCGTCTCCCTGTCCTGTTCATTCCTGCCGCTTCCCGAGGTGAGAACCAGCTCCTGCAAATTCGGCGCGTTGACGAACAGAAGCAAGGAGATGAGGTACTCCGCGTTCGCGAGCTCGAGTCGCCTCAAATTTGGGCAGAACACGCCAGGAGGTGGGTTCGCCGCGTCGATACCTACGCCTACTTCTGTGTCGCGTGGGGCGGCTTTGTGGATCGCGAATGTACACTCTTCCAGGTTTGGGAAATAGCGGAGTATGTCAAGGTAGTCGCCGGTATTAGACCACGCAGAGACGGAGAAGACGAACGAGCTGGGCGATCGGGACCTGGATCTGGTCGATGCTGAGGTGCTGCATGATCTCTACGCTGAGATTCGCAAGTTTCGGGAGTGTCATTAGCTCGAGGGTGATCAGGCGGGGAAGACGCGTGTATCCTGGGGCGGTCTTGATGTAGATAGTTTCAACTGCTTTGAATGGATTCTTGCTCGACTTGGCGATGCCGACGAAGAATTCGAGGTAGGACTCTGTAAGGGTAACCGTTTTCCATCGCTGCTTTGCTGGGATGAACGATAGGAGGTCGGCGGAGTCCTTACGAGAGAGTGGAAGAGTGTCGAAGGAAATAGATAGGGGAAGGGCCTTCGATCGTCGTATGCACTCTGAGACCCCTGCAGCTACTGAGCGAAGTCTGGCAGTATGTATGAATCTTGGGATGGCGATTCTCGTCCAGATGTCCGGATTCTGCAGCAATATAGCCCTCCACGTCTGGCAAACACGCGAAAGGGATAAAGTGAACTGAGGAAGTGAAGCAGCGCTGGCCAGACGAAGAATGTTTGCCAGGATATCGGGGGCCAAGCATCGGATTGGTGACAGAATGCCTTGATAAGCCTCCTTCCGCTCGACGAGCTCGTCGCGGCGTGCCGTTATATTGTTGATGCTAGTACGGTGTTGGTCGATGTCTTTCTGTAGTTTTTGAATTCGATTGTCTATGAAGATGATAGATTGCTTGATTCTGGCTGCGTCTATCTTGGAAGGAGGGTGGTTGGTGGTCAAAAGACGCGCCGCCGTTGACGTGAGGTCCATAATTTTTCAGTTGTATCTGCTCTGGAAACAAACGCGTCAGAACGTGCCAAAATACGCAGAAAAAAGCGCGATTTACTCACCTTGACCAGAGGCGCCTAATTACAACCCAAATTCAGTAGAAAAACACGTATATCGAATACAGGATTGCAAAAAAGATCCAAGAGGAGTTGATATTGTTGTGTTACTCCTGAGTCCGGAGTCGTTGACAAGCGTTGACCGGTAAGTGGTGATGGCGGTAGTAGAAAAGAAAGTAATCCGAGTTACGTTGCAAGGTTGGAGTGCCGCAAAGCAGGACGTTCAGGAGGTGGCATTTTGAATGACCAGAACGAAATTTCGGTGGCCTTGCCAAGCCCACAGCCGGACCGGCAGGCCGGGTGACTCAGCAGATTTATAGTCTCGTGAATGTGACGACACGCGTCAAAATTGTGACGCGCTTCTAAGTTCTGTACGACCCTGCGCTATCAACTTGACCATCTTCCTGTTGCTAACCTCGACGACGATGCCGCGCAAGAAAACTAAATCAACTAGACAGGCGGACACGAGCACAGCTGAGCAGGCCATGGAGTTCTTTCTGTCCTCGATTCGCGACCCGCACAAGGTCACGCATTGTGGAAGATGCCTCTGCGGTGCATTGCTCACGGCTGTAGCTGCGGAACCAGACCGACCAATAGACACCCCAGAGAAATTACCTGCGTCTATCAGGAAAAACCTCGAATTTTGGAATTTGCTGCTCTCATTTTTCGTTACCCCGAGAACGGACGAAGAGATCGACTGTCTACTCACCGCATTCTCAGAATGTCGTTGCCAGCTCACAGAAAGCGGTATCCACATATATCATGAAAAGGGCGAAAAGGCAGAAGAAGGGTCGATGAATAGGACATGGATGGAACACTATGCGCCTCCAGAGGCGAGGGCAAAGTATTCCGCAGTGCGATGTACATTCGTTGTTCAAGGCTTTGCCATCCTCTGTGCAGGTCTGCACGACGGCGGCATCGAACCCGTAGCAAAAGGCGTTACGCATACATGGCCCAGCACCCCACTGGACCTCGTTCCATTTGGCGCAGACGAGCTGGTGCAAACCATGCTGCAGTGGTATCGTCTCGTACCCGATCCCATCGTCATCCAGCTCACCACCCGCATCCTCCACACAACTCGTTTCGTTCTCATCCCCAGCCTTTACAAATATCGGTTCGCGCATACATTTGTCGATATTGTACGAAACATCCTCGATCTCACTGTCGCAGAGCTGGCCAAGCCGGAGCCGACATCTGAAGATGTAAAGGCCAACCGTATGCGCTACAACCACCTTCTTCGAGGGTTGCTCGATTTCCTACACGAAGTCGTCGACGAGCTACCCCAAGACAGCATCTCTGATGTCATATTCGGCTGCGAGACGAAGATTATGCAGCTGTGCTCGATGATTGTCTATCTTTCCTCCGACTTGCGATTACGGGCCAGTGAAATTCTTAAAGAAGAGACCGTCACCCTCTTCGCAGCCTATGGCCAGACCCTCTTCCGATTCTTCCACATTCATATGTACCCGCGACCGAACATCCCCCTCCACCCCGACATCGTGAAACTCGACAACTTCAAATTCCCTCCCCCGACGTCCGTGCGAACTGTCCCAAAGTATGTCATCTGCGACATTGCCTACTTCCACAACGAGACGCGGTGCTCAGCGTGCAAGTGCCCCAACTCCATTCAAAGCGCGGGCAAGAACTTTCAGAGGTGCAGCCGGTGCCACGCCGTGTCGTACTGCGGCCGCCAGTGCCAGACCGTCGCCTGGCGCGACGAGAAGTTCCCGCACAAGCGTATCTGCCGTGCGATTCGATTCTTGATTGACGCGGCTGGTGGACCAGGGTACTTCTGGCATATCCCGAACGCGCCTCAGGCTGCGTTCTTGTCAATGATACCGGGTGTTCAAGTTGAGCCATTCCTCGCGTTCGAGTCGTTTATACTGGAAAATTGGAGGAAGGCGGGCATCACAGAGGACCATGAAGATTTGAACTATGTCTATGATTGGTCCAGGAGCATTGCTGCGACGCGGAATATGCCTGATGGCTCGAAGTGGACGCCAGGGTTTCCGGACTATGAAGAAGCTCTTTCAAAGCTGACTGTTCCTCTTGGACGAGGTCCTCGACGTAAGCATTTCCCTTCCCGTTGATGTCCTGGTGCTGATTCTAACAACTTCAAGCGCACTTCATGAATCGACTCGCGAGATGGCCCTCCGAAATAGCAAAAGAAAAGGCCCTCTTGGAGGTTCAACCCTTCTGGCAACAAAATCTACCTGTGTAAGTAGTATGTAAATCCCGTGGACGAGTTCGTCGTTTTGCTTTCGCTGCTCTTTGCTTTGTTGCTGTTATTTTTGGTTCTACGAACATGCTGTTGTATCCATTCGATTCTATCTACTTCCAACTGTGCCATAACATATTATCTGCCCATTATCTACTATTTGACGCCCTGCTCTGTTTTTCTGAGTGGTCTATGCGGATCCGGACCATTAATTGCGGTCTTGAGCACGTGGGTTACGCGTGCCTTGCCCTGACGCGTTTGACTTGACTCATGGTTGCTGGTATGCTTAAACGCTAGCCACTACAACCTGTCCTGATACCTGTCGATCTGGCTTCAATCATGTCAAATTTATACCCTTCCTCCATGGCTGATACTGCCTCGTTTACCCCTGCTATCTCTCGAGACGGGTTCTCCTATCAAGATGGCGTCTTCTATGTTGAAGGCGACCCCTATCGTCACCCACGGAAGGATGCCGCCGAACTCTACTCGCTTCTGACTTACGAGCCTCCAGCACCGCTACTCGACGAAGCAGGAAATCCGTTGAAGATTCAACCAAAGAGTAGACACATCGACCAGAAGGCCGAATTCTACTCAGCTCAGATGGCGCACTACGGCCTCAAGGTGCTCAAGACGCGCGAGGCGGCAAAGAAGAATCTTCTTGCTGCCTTTACGAGCTCTCCAGACGGGAGTGGCTTGGCTATACCGAGGGCAATCCTGGACCTTGAACAGGCTGTGAAGAGGGAGTGGAATGAGGCTGACGCCGCGCGTCGCGCTGGGTCTGGTACACTTGTGCAAACGAATAGCAAGGCGAAGGGCAAGCAGAAGGAATCCCAGTTCCCCAATGCTACCGTCCCGGTTGCGAAGCATAGCTCAATGACGAAGGAGGAAATGCGAGCGAAGATTTACTCGATTTCTGAGTCTCGAGCTCGTAGCATCCTCGCCAAGATTCTGGACGAGGAACCTGCGGCGGCAACTCTTCTTATGTCAGAGCTCTCCAAGCAGACAGCTATAAAGACTACAGATGCTCAAGTCAAACCCGACGGTGAGTTCTCCTATACGCGAATGGCCCTGTTAAGCCTTGGATGACACCGGTTTCTCTTCACTTCCTGCAGCCTCAGGCTCAGTCATTCCCGCAAGTTCCTCTCGGAGGACAAAGCAAACTGCCCGCAAGACAACGGGAGCGGCACCATTCCACCCATATGCGCGACCTGTAACCGACGAGGCAACAACCGAGGCCTCTTCACTGGCCTCGAAGCCACGAACAAAGCAAACGGCTCGTCGAGGCGGAGGGCAACCTGTTCAAAGGATACCTGAGAACCCGTTTGTGAACCCCCTAGAGCCCGAATCATCCTCAAAGCCGCGAACTAAACAGACGACTCGACGGGGTGGTAAAACTGCTGGTCCTAGCAAGGCTGGCCAAACGACAGGTGCAAAGCGTGCAGGGGTCAGCTCTTCCTTTTGTTACTTCGTCAAGCTGGTCATAATTTGTCCATACTTAGACTGCTCTACCCATCTCAGAATGGGCTGGAGAGTATGATGTCGAATGTCCGGAGCTCGCAGGCAACTGGGACTCCGCTGAGGGTACCCATATGTTCAATGTGTACCCTTCCTCTACGTCCGCCCACGTCTGGGCTTCTTTCGACTTTGGTATCGTCCAAGGAGTCATACGCTCCGTGGGCAAACCGCCCACGAAAGTCAAGGAAGAGGTTCCCTTTGTCTGGCGTGGATGCGAATCAGGCGATTCGGAACACGAGATGATACTCGGCGATGGAAATGAAGGTGTGCTAACCTTTCTCGGTGACGGCCAAATGAAGGCGACAATGAAAGGAGGCTGCTTTGGTGAATGGACTGTTACTGGATCCTTTAGCTCTGGGGGCAGCTCTGAGAGTCTGAATTTGGCCCAGGTGAAGCGAGCTGTGAGGGAATGGAAAGACGAATTCCGAGCGTACAACCACCACAATTACGAGATTGAAGGAAGGGAGATGTGGGGCAAATCGACTTGGGGAAGTCGGAGGCGCGACGATGCGCCGTTAGATAGTGATACGACGACGGGTGGCGGTGAGGGCTCTGACATGGACTTGGACGGGGGCGAAGGGGGTTATTACGCCTACGCATACTGAAATTGTTACAGTAATCCCCGGGATTTCACTATGCATGCATTTCACCTACACAAATCTATGTTAGGCTTAGGTATCTAGTTCAGATTTGCCCTACTTTTCAGCCCTGAACACTGAAATCAATAAAGGACGCGTCCTGACGCGTCTCGCTCTAACGCGGTTACCTGATGCATTTCGGCCCTGCCTGGCCCGCAAGCTTTATGCCACCCGCGCTATTTAAGCATCCACGATTTACAATTTACCACCACCACCACCACCACTCCCTCCAGCGGTACCTCCGTTTACTCTCCATTTTGGAAATTGCGCTATGCAGCAAATTGAAGAGACGGACTCGATCCTTGTGAGGCGGAGTAACGAGAATCTGCGCGCATTGGCTTTGGCATCATGGAACGATAGTTGCGGGATCTTTGGGGACTTTGGGGGACGCTGGTTGAAGGAGGGCTGTCCCGAGGTAAGCGGAAATTCCTCACTCGAGGCGTTGAGGCTCATATTCGTCTTCAGTTACCATCGGCGCCGTCAGACTGGGCCGGGTCCTGGATGCCCATGTCCGCCGTCCTTGCAAAAAAAGCGGAAGAATATAATCATCATCCCATGATTGAAGTCTACCCTTCCTCTGCACCAGATTCGTCCCCGTCGCCGCTCCACGCTACCCACGTTTGGGGCATGTTTAGCTTCGGATTCGTCGCCGGCGTCCTGTGCTCTGTTGGATCAGCACCAATGACAGCAGGAGAGAGCGTCCCATTTATCTGGCGTGGGCAGGAGAGGACAAGTCCCGATCGAGAATATTGTCCGCGTCTCGCGTGACGATCACCGTGGCGTTATTACCTTCTTTGGTGACGGCCGAATGGAGTTCGTTCTCAAGGACACCGCGTTCGGCGAGCTCACAGTGGAGGGCCAGCTCGATGAGGATGTCTGTGTCCAACATGGAAGCAGAAGTGGAAGGTACTGGGTTCCACGGAACTTTTTCTACATGGACCACTGTTCGAACTTTGAGTTTGGCTGCAGGTGAATGCAGGTAGTGACAATAATAAACGTTTCGTTTCGAAAGCCACATTTTTTTTTCTACGATTAAGTAGAAAGTCGTCTTGTACGACCTTCAGGAAGCGGCGCAACGTCTACTGCCAACTGGAGCTTGTCTCAAATGCAAAGAAAATTTGCCAATCATCTGATGTCATTCGGACCGGACGATAAAGGACCCATACAACCAATAATATTAGACATAACTTGGTTAATCTTTACGCACAGTATCCCGTAGTCTACCAGAACAACGCGACGATAAAAAAAACCTAATTCAATCTAACTCCGGACATCCGTCTAATTAATCGAGCTCGTCGAAGTGGAAATCGCGGGAGAGGAGGTCAATCAACAACTCTAAGTCGCGTGCAGAGGGCTCCTCGCTCCTGGACTTGACGGCACCCGCAATAACACCACCTGCACCGGCGACACCAGCGGCAGCGGCCACACGGTCGGCGGTGAACACTTTCCTGACCTTGGCCAGAGCGGCAGCAACGCGGGGGTCGCGGGCCTCAAGGTCGAAGTCGAAATCGAGGTCACGCGCAGCTGGCTGCGAGCTGGGGGCGGAGCTGGAGCTGGAGCTGTACTTCTTCGCGGTACCTGCAATGACACCACCTGCACTGGCGACGCCTGCGGCAGTGGTAATTCGTTTGGAGGAGAGAACTTTCTTGATCTTGCCTAGAGTGGCACCGATGGCGGGGTCGCGGATTTCGAGGTCGTCAAAGTCGAGGTCCCTGGATTTGACGGCACCTGCAATGACACCACCTGCACCGGCGACACCAGCAGCGGCGGCGACCCGATCGGCGGTGAACACTTTCTTGATCTTGCCCAGGGCGGCAGCGATGCGGGGATCGCGGATTTCGAGGTCGTCAAAGTCGAGGTCTCGTGCAGCCGGCTGTGAGCTGGAGCTGGAGCTGGAGCTTGACTTCTTCGCGGCACCCGCAATGACACCACCTGCACTGGCAACGCCTGCGACAGTGGCAATTCGTTTGGAGGAGAGAACTTTCTTAATCTTGCCCAGAGTAGCAGCGATGGCGGGATCGCGGATTTCGAGGTCGTCAAAGTCGAGGTCTCGTGCAGCCGGCTGTGAGCTGGGGGTGGAGCTCGAGCTGGACTTCTTCGCGGCACCTGCAATGACACCTCCTGCACTGGCAACGCCTGCGACAGTGGCAATTCGTTTGGAGGAGAGAACTTTCTTGATCTTGCCTAGAGTGGCACCGATGGCGGGGTCGCGGATTTCGAGGTCGTCAAAGTCGAGGTCCCTGGATTTGACGGCACCTGCAATGACACCACCTGCACCGGCGACACCAGCAGCGGCGGCGACCCGATCGGCGGTGAACACTTTCTTGATCTTGCCCAGAGCGGCAGCGATGCGGGGATCGCGCCTAAAAGTTGAAGGATATCCGGACATCGGTAAGCAGCTGAGACTAAGGTTGGACAAAGTTATACTTACGCAGAAAGCTCATCCCAGTCTTCGGCGACGGGGGCAGCGAAGGAAGGGGCAGCGAGGAGAGCGGCGAGGACAATGGAAGAAGTGATTTGAACCATGGCGAACGTTAAGGTCGTTAAAAATGGGAGGGCTTGCGGTCGACGCGGTTTTGGTTGGTTGGATGGATGGGATTCAACGGTGTTGATGAGACCAGCTCGATGAGGAACACTGTTTCCTCCCCGCCTGGTTTTATAGCCTTCGTGCGCACGAAGCAGGCGCCTATGGCTACCACCTATACGGAAGAAGTTCCATTTTGGGTAAGTGGTGTCGCCCGTCGATCATTCGAAGCCCTCCGGAGGGGCAGCGTCTACGACAACAACTTGCCGTCCGGTCGGCAGGTCCACCAGTCCGCAGTGCAGCCCAGGGATATCTGAAGGATGGAAAGCAGACGGTGCACCCGCGAGATAACAAAATCGCATCTATTTTTGTAATCTTTTGGCGACGTCTCTAGGGCGAATTCAATTGAGTTTGTGGGGCATGGCTGCTGCCAAGGGGTTCTGGACATGATAAGGTCGAAGTAAGCTCTCCTTTCGAGACCGACTGGTCGGAAGTGCTCACCGAGTCACCGTTACCTACTCTGGGTTTTAGTGTTTTCAACATGAATAATGGGACACGTTCCTACACTTGAAGGTGCTTTCCTCTACCATTCGCTAGATGTCCTGTTCTAACTTCCAAGTTTCACTCCAATCAGATATACCTGGTCTGCTTATCAGAAGTGCGCTAGAACGCTTCGCCAGCGAAGTTCAGAAGTTAGATTTTCAGGACCCGAATGTTACAAAAACACTCAGCTGTGGTTCGGGGGGAGTTAGGATGACTCCCAGACAACGCGGTCGCATTGGGCACTGGTTGGGCATTTGCGGCGTTCGTGATATCACCCCTCACTCGAGCAGCACTTGATCAGCATCAAGCACCCAAGCCCACTTATCCTGCGTTCGGAAATAAACTTGGGGGTAGCACGCCATCGTGATTTGTCTAATCGTCTTACTCGTCTGATACTCGGGTGTTATCGTACTTTGGACCTTTTTGCTCATTTCGATGCTGTGGTGGGCTACGTTAATGGCCCAGCTGCCGGCGTTTCTCCATGCAACGCCCCGAGATCACTGCTTCTTCACCAGTCCAACTGCTCAGCACTACCAACTCGCCGAAGGAGCAGCCGTTGAGGACTTCATTTGAATCCGGCCTCTGCCAAAGAAGGTAATGACGCCACGGTGATCGTCGCCGGCTAGCTACTCGCACACGACGAGTGCGAGGTTCTCGACGTCCTGATGGTCTCAGTCGGAGCTGGCTTTCCTTATCCACGCATGGCGACTATCACAGGCAGTTGTTGATGCAGCTCATACGGAGGGCTGTACGCGGGCAACGAGAGTTGAGATTCAGAATTGGAAAGAGTCGCCCCGGGCTCGAAAGTGGGATGCGTGACGACGAGTTTCGATAGGTTTCGATCTGGTGCGGAAGTTGTTGTAGCGGTTACAGCGCCAACCATAACCTCTAAGGGCGTGGATCAATTGTCTGCACCGTCGCAGAAGAGGCTTAGGGCCTGTTCGGATCCCCGGCCTTCTCCAAGGCTGCCTGCCAAATTGAAGGCCTACGTACGGAAAGGCAACTTCGCACGCTTCACGGAGCCAAGACTCTTCCATCAAATTGTCACAAGGTTCGTTGCCATGGGACACGATGCCTGACACCATCCATCCGTTGCCCGCCCTTGCCTCCCGCCGCCCGCCCAACGTCCCGCCGAAATCTGGCGGCCCAAGTTGCGCAGGACAGGAGAGTGCATTTCGAAATTTAGTTAATATGAGAGTTAATATGAATATATTACAACATAAAAGCAAGAAGTGCGCCGAATTTTGGGTGCACAATGTCTCAATCACTCTGCTCAACGTCAACGGCGAGGACGACGAGGGAGGGCGATGTTAAGCAAAGGATGACAAATCCAGAAATGATGATGTTACTGACGGTGACGGGTGACAACACAGCCACCCCAAGCCTGGTTTCGGAATTAAGCTGGGGATCCGAACAGGCCCTTAGCAATTCTCGTCCACTAGGGCGTCGGTGATGCTGCCGCCCAACATGAGTCGTCCAGCGAGATTTTCCGGATCTGATCCTCCGTGACTTCAAGTTCGATGAGCTCTATTATGTAAACGGACGAAAAGAGGGATTCGGTTGGGCCTATAATCATCAACACGGGTCCTCTCGTAGGTGGGATTAGCGGCGCGACCTCGTGCTATAAGTATGCAAGCAAGCTTACCAAGAGCCCCTAGAGATTCGAATTCGCACTGTGGTCGAGGTCATGCTGACACTGCAGAGTAGATAAAGATCAGCAATTTGATGTTAAACATCTAACGTTGAAGCTTTTTCGTGCAATCGACATGGTGGTGAGACGCAAGATGGAATGTGGGAAGTGTACATTCTTCGTCCTGCACGACTTGCTTTCTACCTCCATCATGCCCTCACTACTACCTCAAGAAATTTCGGGCGAAATTATCTGCTACCTCCACAATGACAAATATACTCTCAAACGTTGTTCACTCGCCTGGCCCTCCTTCACCGCCGTCTGCCAATCTAGGCTCTTCTCCAAAGTCATCATGAGAGCATACAAGTCACGCTGCCGGGAGCGAGTTGGAAGCAGCGCAAGCAGCTTCAAACGGATACTCGACACGTCGCCGCACATCGCGGGGTATGTAGCCTGCCTCAAGATCTTCGACACGCCCTTCGTCGCCGAGATGGGCCTAGCTGAGGAATGGGTGTCGAAGGACGATGGGTTGGCAGCGTGCCTCCTGCGGCTCACACATCTCAAGGCGCTGCTTATCACCCGCACGGACGTCCAG